AATGAATGAACACTTCCTTATATCTGAGGCAGGAAACAGCCTTATATGGTGTTTTTGGGGTGGTAATYATGCTAATCTCCTCTCGCGTGCACGAGCAGCTGGATACGAACAGGTGGAATTTATGCAGCTCATTTACTCACTTTTCCTGAAGATAGAAGAGTTTGTTGAATCTGACGTGACATGTTAGTATGAACCTTTTGTACGAACAAAAGTAGGAGAAATTTAGGATAAGAAAACGAACATGTTTTTGCATGAGGCTCAATGTTCTTAAAGTGATATGATCCAGCCTGACCTCTGACACAAACTCTCTTTTCTCTCGTTTGGATCTCTGCAGCTGTCCAACAGGAGATTCAGAGGAGCAGCCATGCTTTCTGTATTTATTGTCTCTGCTGTTGTCCATGAATATGCTTTGACCTTGGGCTTCGGCTTCTTCTATCCCATCATGTTCCTCCTCTTTGCAGTCTTTGGAGGTGAGGGATGATCTTAGACAATAATCTTTATCAATTGTAGTACTTATACCAAAGAATAAAATAAAAATTGTGAAATGTAGATTGAAAATTGTAGATTATAAATATGCAGGTTTATTCTTCATATTTTTTAAATTTGTAAATTTTTTATCAAAATTTCCATACATTATTACATTTACAACCTTTACGCCTTTTTATTTTTTTATTTTTCCCCCTATACATACCCTCAAAGAAAAGCTGCACATACGTTCTTTTCAAAAAGAAAAAAATAATGCAGTCAAAAATTACATTTTCTTTTCCGTTCTTCTCTTCCAGGTCATCACAATTTTAAATCTCTTCTTATTAACAATGAACTGTTAGCAAACTATTTACAGTCTGTAGCCCTATAAGGGTACACCAAACCACATTATTATTCGATAAAATCTGTATTCTTCATTTTAATTCATTTAAAATAGCTCTGCTGCACTAAATATGCGTAAAGTACATCCATTTGTGCAATTTGTGTCGTGTCATCGACATCGTCTTCCTCTCATGTCCTCCTCTTTTAGTGGCGTTCAACTTTACCATGAACGACAAGCGGCAGAGCCCGGTGTTCAACATCGTCATGTGGGCGTGCCTCTTCCTCGGTCAGGGCGTCCAGGTGTGTCTGTACTGTCAGGAGTGGTACGCCCAGATCCACTGCCCGCGGACAGGGGTATGTGTGTTTTCTGACTGATGCAGCGGTTACAGATCTCTGTGTGAATGTTCCTGTTTTATATGTTTTGGTAGCTTGCTATAATAGTAACCAGGTAATGCTTTCTTTTACAGTACCATTATTACCATGTAATTACAAGGTAATAAAAAATGTAATTAAATGGTAATTACTACCTTATTACATGTAATTACATGGTAATTAGGGTACAGTTTTACTATGTAATTAATTGTCTGCAGTAATGTAGCACTTACCTGATAATGTATTGCAATTCACTATGTAACACCTAAATAAGTAGGTAATTTGGACAGTTTTAAAGTTATATTTTATTGCAACTAACCACTAACCCCAAAATTTAGTTGCATTCTTTTGGTTATAAATATAGTGCTGAGTTACTATTGAATAGTTACCCAATAAAGGTAGTTTTACTTACAGTAGTTTTTCTTTTGTACCATAATTACCACGTAATTACATGGTAATAAAGTAGTAATTACCTTTAATTACAATTTTTTATTACCTTGTAATTAATTACATGGTAATAAGGGTACCGTAAAAGAAAGCGTTACCAATAACTAGACCTTATTTAGCCTTTTTCATTGATAAATGGTTAGTTATCTTTGAAAGCATAATTAAGGATGATTCATACTTAAGCATGAATAAACAATTACTATGTTGGTTTTGGAAGTAATTAGCCTTTATAGATAAAGCATTTTAAAAATTGAGTTTTAAGTATGAATCGTTCTTCAATTGATGATGTTTTCAAGGTTTACTAAATGTTTATTATTGATTAAGTAAGGCTAAATAATGTGTAATTACTACAGTGTTACCATTCGTTCTTGTTTGTATAAATTCATCATCTTGAGTTAAATAATATTGCCTCACATCTCACTCACAAAAGCCTTTAATAAGCTTAGCTTCAGCTCTTTAAAACCCCTGATTGAAAGTATGCAACATTTTATCCCAACATTTATTAAATGTTTGAAACTGACTTCARTCAGATATAATGAATATGTTTCATTCAGTAATAATTTATATTAAAGTGTGAAAATGAAAGAAAACTGACCAAATGAGTTAATACCTGTTTTTAGTAGAACAAGGACAGAGTGTGCTTCTGCTGAGTTTTATGACGTCTTTGAAGGCATAAATAATTTATATAACTAACACACTCTTCCTCTCTGTGAGAAGCTGCATCAACACATAAATGCCTGATTAAAGCCATCAAATGAATAAAGGGGTTAGCATGGGACTTTTTAAAACAGCAAATCATTCATTTGTTGTTCTAGAAAGACATCTTTGTTTAAATACCTAGCGTTTCTTGATGTAGTATGTAGTATGTGTATTATATAGTGATTAGTACACCTACACTTCTAATAACAAACTTTATTATAAGGAAATTCACGGGTTCTTCTGTTTAAGGAAACAAACAACTTCTCTGTGTAAATATGAGACCACACAAATAAGACCTTAGTCAGTAAATTCAAGTTGATCTAGTTTATGACGAGATCATTTATTTATAGAATCAACATAAATCACTACAGCTTATTGTGAATAATCAAATTTTGTTAAGAGTTTTAACATCAACAACAATCAGTATGCATCCGCATTAATTAATCGTCAATATGACAACTTTAACAGAAACAGCATCGCTCTCTGCTCATGTCAAAGCTTGAAACAAAAATTATCTYTGAAAAATATCAAACTTAAAACCATTTTGGTCAAATTATGAAATTGACATCAGGCAAAATCTCTTGCAATTATGATCTTAGTCTTTTAGTTTTCAGAGTACATGTTAAGGATAATTCACAACTACATCCACTGCAAGTTTTAGCTCAACCTTTGTAAAATTGACTGAATCKTAGTTATTTTTCTGTTTGATAAGTTTGCTTAGCTTTAGCAGCCGTTGCTGCTTCATGAAGTGGTTTATGAGATATTTTCCAGACAAATKAACACACATCATCACGTAGACCACCACCGTCTTACACACGAACAACACGAAGCACGAACCAGCACTGTGAAGGATTAGCATGTCAGATGTTCACAGATGTGTTTAACACTCTTAACTCCACCATGAACCTCAGCATCTGTGTATCCCTGAACAGAAATCCCCGAAAGCCACACTCACAATGGCTTAACAAAGATAACTCCTCTCTAAAAATAGAAGCACGYGCTGCAAAATGAGATTATGATGTGATTATAAATAATAAAGYCTAGTGAACACAGAGGTTAACAGGAACAGGAAGGAGCAATAATTCTCTTCTTCAGCAGGAAGGTTTCTGGGAGCTGGTGTTGCCTCGGTCCTGGTCCTGCGGCTATCAGACATGAGGCCGTCTGTCCCTGGAGCAGCTGGCCATGATGAACTGAATTAAAAGGACCCCAAGGAAGAACATAACTTAAAAGACTTGTAAAAGGACAGCAGGGTTCTTTTCTCTTTACTGTGTAAACTGTTTTTGTTTCATCTTTTAGTGAGCTAATTGTTAAGCTTGGAAAGGTGATTTTTTTTTAAGTCGTGACTGCATTTTTTTCTGTTTTCATTCTTTAGGCAGTGTTAGATTTACAGAATAGTTTATACAATGGTAGGACTGATTCAGTGTTTACATTTTTAAATATTTGACAAAAAATACATGTTTGCATATTGAGTTTAGATTTGTGAAATAATCTATTCTTGTTGATTTTATTTGTAAATGTAGACTAACTTAAGAAAAATAGCGCATTTAGTCTTTTTAGCTACGGATGTGCTTTCAGTCAGATTTTTACCCCTTATAGCTTTTACTTAGTATTTTGCTTTTTATTTTATAGCTAGCGTTTTTCCTCTTAATGTTCAACGGACTTCTTGCTGTTTAGCCTTTAACTTGTATCTTTCAGCTACTACAGCTCAGTTTCAGCTTTTTCAGCTTATTTCTTCAGTTATCCAACACTCAGCATTCACACTGAAATGGTGCAGAAAATGTATTTTTTTTCCTTTTTTTACACAATTCGCTGAATAAACCAATTGTTGTCAGGTTTAATACGTTTTGTGTTGGAAATATTTCTTATTTAATTCAGTTAAACTGGGAAATGTGGATGGGCACAAGTGACCCACGCAACCCAGAAAGGAATAAGCGTGTACAGAAAATAAATGGATGGATGGATGGATAGATGGATGGATGGATGGTAAATGTGGCACAAAGTCATTTATAGAATGAAATTAACTTTAAGTTTCACTGTTCTGTCAATGGAATTTGCCTGGTTATATAATGG